ATTTGAGTGTAATTTGTTGGAGTTGATATTTTACATTGTGGATTATTATGTGGACTTTGGATTTCATATCCGTTTTGGTTGAGGTTGTGATATTGGTTTGGAACTTTGAGAATGAATTGTGATTTTTGGTGAGCACCCGGAGAAATCCGTGGTGTCGGTTTGCCACATCCGGATAAATGTGGTATTGGTGAGTGGTAATGGCTATAAGTCTAAATCCACCAGGGGTACTTCCCAAAAGCGGAGTATCCAAGCTTAATTGTAGTGTAGTTGGTAGAAAAATCCCGACTACTCGGGCTTCTTACTTCCTGGAGGGCTTGGAATCCCTTTTAGGGGTGTGCACACTTAAGGTAGGAGTTCGGCTTCCACTAGCTTTGATTGGGTTTGAGGTGAACTGGACTTTGATTGGATTGAGGTGATTGAGATTATTTGATTGACTTGATTTGGATTTGAGGTGAATATTATTTGATTGGATTTGTGGTGAATCAAAGTATTGGATTGATTGGAACTGTTGGATTATTGGATTGGATTATATTTGGATTGAGTTGTTAAATTATTTGTGGGTTTTACTTTTGGATTTGATTTGGTTTGATTATGTTGAGTACTCTTTATTATCAGCATTTACAAGTATTTTGAGATATTTGGTGTTTGATTTATGCTTTGGAATTATTGTAATGATTTGTGGTGGTTTTACGTATATTTGGTATTTTTGTAATTTTTGTGGTTGGGAAATATTTGCTTATATTTGAGGTACTATTATTTTACTAGTGAATTATGCTATGAGAAGATTTTATAAATTGTTTTTTTTAAAAAAAATATTTTTCCTCCTAAATGTTTTTCAAAAACATTAAATTTTATTATTCATTATTTTATGGGGTTAGGTGGAACTTACTTAGCATTGTTGCTAATTTTTGTTTTCTTTTGTTTTTCTTTCTGTACTTGATTTTGTACAGGTGACGCTTTGATGATGATGTTGATTTCGAGAGAGCTTCCGCTAGAAAACATAGTAAATCATTGTAATTCCATTTTCAATATCTTTAGTTAGTGAATAATTATTTTTGGAGTTTAAGTTGTTTTAGCCTGTGCACTCGGTTAAGGGAGAATCGAGTGTGGCGGTAACGCCCCTATTTCCCTTTTGGTTTTCCGTTGCATAACTCTGATGTTTTCGAATAAAGTTAATATTTCTTTTGAATAAGGTATTATTTTTGGGTGGGAAATTTGAGGGTGTTACAGTAAAGGCTTGGCTTGGAAAGTGTTTCTCAATGAAAGACTTGGGTGATGCATCCTATGTGTTAGGGATCAAGATCTATAGAGATAGATCTAGAAAACTAATAGGACTAAGTCAAAGTAACTACATTGACAAGGTCCTGCATAGGTTCAATATGCAAGATTCCAAGAGAGGATTCTTGCCTATGTCACATGGCACATATCTCAGCAAGACTCAGTGTCCACAAACACAAGATGAGCGAGATCGGATGAATAGAGTCCCTTATGCTTCTGCTATAGGTTCTATAATGTATGCTATGTTATGTACTCGCCCTGATATAGTTTGCGCTCTAAGCATGACTAGTAGATACCAGTCAGATCCAGGTGATAGTCACTGGATAGCAGTCAAGAATATTCTAAAGTACTTGAGAAGAACTAATGATGTATTCTTGGTCTATGGTGGTGAAGATCAGCTCATTGTAAAAGGTTACACAGATGCTGGGTTCCAATCCGATAAGGATGATTTTAGATCGCAGTCAGGATTTGTGTTTTGCCTCAATGGCGGAGCAGTGAGCTGGAAGAGTTCTAAACAAGACACGGTGGCTGATTCTACAACAGAAGCTGAGTACATTGCTGCTTCAGAAGCAGCAAAAGAAGCGGTATGGATAAGAAAATTCATCATTGAGCTCGGTGTGGTTCCTAGCATTGTTGGACCAATGGACTTGTATTGTGATAACAATGGAGCCATTGTACAAGCCAAGGAACCTAGATCGCACCAGAAATCAAAGCATGTACTCAGACGCTATCATCTCATTCGAGAAATAGTCAATAGAGGTGACGTCAAGATATGCAAAGTACCGACAGATTCAAATGTGGCTGACCCGCTCACCAAGCCACTACCACAAGCAAAGCATGAACGTCATACTAGTGCATTAGGCATTCGTTTTGTTCACGATTGGTCCTAGTGGAAGTGGGAGACTGTTGGAAATATGCCCTAGGACAATCATAGTTTATGATTTATCAATAAATATTTAATGCTCATTAATTAATAAAGTTGCAAACTCATTTTATGTTAATTATTATTGTGAGTTTTCTTTATTAATATTTAGTCCCTGAATATTCTGTTTAGTAGCTAATTAAGTATGTGACTTAATTGTGGAATGCTACACTTTAAAACAAACATAATATTCTAATTGTCCCTGGTCTAATATTATTAATTTGGGACATTAATAATTAATAGACCAGTATATGGATTAACTGATGGCTATATTCCACTAGTCATGGGTATAGAGATATCAAGTTAATAACATAGATGCTTGTTAGGGAACAAGTTCATTGGACAGACCCAACTTGGGGACATTGCTAGGTTATATGTCATCAGTGTTGTCCTCAATAATGATGAGGTGCTATATTCTTATACTTGAGATAATCATGGTTACTAGCATGAGAATTAATATGTATTAACACCATTAAACGTTATCTTTAACTGGATAATTATAAAGGTGGTGATTGTACATATTATGAACCATGTAGTAGTATGTGAATTATCAAGATAGTTTTTGTCACTCTTGTACATCGAGAGAAAGATATCTATTGGGCCCCTTGACAAGTAAGATTAATTAGCATGGCCATGCTCAAATGAGGTGTCATTTGATCAAGATTAATCTTACTTGGTAATCAAGAAATATTAATTGAGAATAACAAGGATGACACGACCTAACCTTGTCTCAATTAAGATATCGTTTGACAAAAGAGAATTGTTAGCACAAATTAATCATTAAAAGGTTATGTCAGATTTAATTGACATTTATATATTTTGGATAGTCATAATGCCTTGCTAGAGACCGCTTATGATTTGTGAAGCTCGAATTAATTTCTAGCCCACTACCAATAATATATAAACCTACAGGGTCACACACCTAAGTGATTTGGATCATTAATGTTTGTTAATAACATTAAAATAGCTTGATTAGCCCAATTCGAAATAGGTTTTCGAATGGTATTGGGCTAGGGCCTCTTTAAGGGTTTTATTAGCCATAAAACCCCTTCTTTACTCCTCTTATAAATAGGGCCATATAGACCCACGAATTTTAAGAGTTAAAATTCACTTCTTAAACCTAGAGTAGAGAGGAAGAAAGAAGAGAACGCTAGCACGTTCCCTGCGGCCGATCCAGTCACGTGCGTGTGGATACCGGTAGAGCTCGGGATCGTTTTCTCGGACTGTCTGACATCCCTGATTAAGATTGTTATGTAAGTCTCTCTTAAATTCTTGTAATTTCGTTTATAATAAGAACCTCAGATCCGTTTGTTTACTTTTGGGTAGTAAAAATTTTAGTTTATTCCGCTGCGTTTTTCTGCCCGAAACCCAACAGTTAACTATGATGAAAACCAACTTGATGAAAAGTGGGAAGCTTATTTGAGAGTTAGGGTCCGTATGGATGTGGAAAACCTCTGAGAAAATGAACAACACTTAAGAAAGGAGAGGTTGGCCACTGGGTAGATTTCAAGTATGAGAAGCTACCCAATTTTGTTTTATCTGTAGAATTATTGGTCATTCTGATAAATTTTGTCCATTGACATATGATGATAACCCGATTTTATTTTTGCGAGGAGGATAACATGATTTTGGGAAAAAACATTTGGGGTGAACCTTAGAGCTGGAGGAGGGGGAAGACTAGTCCTACATGAGGTAACAAGTGGCTAGTCGTTGGGTCCTCTAGCTCAAGTTTGGGAGTCCCACTTAAAGAGGACAACAAATCAGATGGTAAAGCAGGAGGGGGCTGGAAGGAATCCACGTCGGGGCACATGTAATAGCACGACTAGAGATGGGGAGTTTGAGAGTACTGAGGAAATGTTAGGGGAACAAAAGCGGAAGAAGAATCTGGGAAGCTCAGGCAAAAGAGGATCCAATTGATGATAACATGGCTCTGGACAGGCAAAAAACGGGGAGGAGGCGGGCTCCGACATGTAGGCCCGCCGAAGTTTCAGTGTCAATGGGGACGGTGGTGGTGCTCTGGAAGACGAAGCACGATATTTACTTTTTTGCCTTGGATTATTAGCTTATTTTATCCCAAACTATCATCAAATTCACGAATGTATCCTATACTTTTACCTTTATAAAAAAGACTCAAACTTCATTTTTTCGAACAATTTTTTTTCTTTTCAAAATTACACATTTTTATCAATACCAATAAGATATAAGCAATACAAGTTTGTAAACTTAAAACTAGAAAGAAGTGAAAATATGAAACATAAATATGATTTTCTTCTCAAGTTTTATTAATTGATCCATTGACAGCGTAATTGTGAAGAAAGTTAAAGTTTATATTTTTTTTAAATAAAAGTGAAAGAATGAAATAGATTTGTGAATTTGATGACATTTAGAGATATATGTAGCTACTAATCCTTTTGCCTTTCTGTTTTTTAATTTCCTGGAGCATATTGTTTACTTTCATCTTTGTTCTTTCCTTTGTTGTAGGATTGTGGGTTTAGATTTCGGTGACAGAAGATCTGCTTTAACCATCTTTGGTTCATATTTAAGCCTATTTCTTCTAAAAAAATGAAATTATGCATTTTTTAAACTTGTTATGTGTTGAAAATTATGAGCCCGTTTGGTAGCACCAAAATCGATTGTTTTGGCTGATTCTGCTGAAATTTATCAAGTTCTGACTGAAGTGACTGCATTGACTGATTCTGCTGATTTAAGAAAAACTTATTTTTTAAATATATTTTATTAATAAAATAAAGAAAAATTATATGTAAAAATAGTTAAAATAGTCATCTACAGTAACTTCAGCAATACAACCAGAAAAGTAAATTCAACGTTACCTTTTTTGCTTAATGGCTGATAAGAAGAAAAATATTGTTCTCAATGTGAAACTTTTTTTGCTTAATGGCTGATAAGACGAAAAATATTGTTGTCAATGTGAAACTTAACATTAATTGCTTTTCTTCGCGTAATTACGATGCAAAACAGCTGCACTATGAGCCGTGCACGGACAGCATCCCTAAATAACCTCAGACCCCGCTCCGCTTTCACCGCTCATTCATTTTTGACTCTCATTTTCTTCCCTGCTTTTACCCCGAGTCTCTCAAAATATTCTTACCCAAAGCCGCCATTAACTGGCAGATTTGTTTCTTCTTTCTTATCCTGCACCTGGAACAGCTTACCTCCGCATTCAGATCCGTCACCTTTCGTGTTTTAGAGAGTGAAACAGAAAGGTTAGGGCGACTATTAGTAAATCTTTCTGTAACTGTACTTCTTTTTCTTTGAATATTTGAAGCTTTCTCGAAGCTGGATTTGTAGGAGGGAGGTTAGTAAACACTTTTAACAACTCTCATTTACTCGGTCTTCAGACTCTCTCTTCAATCCGTTGAAAAACTTGGATAGAGACATACATACAACGAAGGAATAAATAATGGGCTGTTTCGTTTTGACTTGATATTCTTCCTCTCATTAATTAATTAATAGTTTATATGTGTGTGTGTATATACACATATTGTATATGTATATATACACATACCATACATACATATATGGTGCAATTAAGACGGAAAAAAGAGAAATTTGTGGCTGAGTCGTGATTGTATAGCATATTGGTAGTGGGCCCATGGTTATATATGCAAAAGCCTCATTACAGTTGTAAATTGTTATGCCCTGACTAGGCACATCCGTGTATGTCCTGCAGTATTTTGTATGCGGCCGCTTCACATTATACATATGGGTTTCCGGTTTTGAATGTTTCTGACACGCTTTTGGCCTTGATTTGTATGTTCCTTTATTAGTGTTGGTAACTAGTGGAGGCCATATACGTGCATATCATGGAATCATGCTTTGTTTAAGAGATTCGTGTGTGATCAAAGATCTGGTCTCTGCATATACTTATTTGAGCTGCATTCTTTATCAAGGTTTGAATCTATTCATCTTCTAGAGGAAAGCTGTCTGATCTCTTCCTTTTGTGTAGTGGATATATGACATTCAATTTTTTTTTTCTAGTGTAAATTCTTCAAAGTTGGGGTCTTGGTGTTATTGATGCTGCTTAAACATTCTCTTTTGAGCTTTGAAGGGGTGATGGATCTTGCTTTCTTTATTAATTCACTGTATAGAGCTCTAAATAATCTTCATCTTAATTCGCAACTGTTTTTAATTCTAAATTCATGCGTTTTCGTGTCTATCTGGTCTTTGGCAGGTAAACAATTGAAGTAGCATTATATTGATTCACACCACCACAATATGGATGGAAAATCATTCAAAGCACCGCCTCCGGACTCACAAATGGGAAAACTCCAAGGGGGTGGTCCTTCAGTGACCTTTGCAAGGAGGACATCATCGGGGCGGTATGTGAACCTATCAAGGGACTCGCTTGACAGTGAAATAAGCGGTGTGGAGTTCGCAAACTACACAGTACACATCCCGCCTACGCCCGATAACCAACCCATGGACCCATCCATTTCCCAACGGGTGGAGGAGCAGTATGTGTCCAATTCTTTGTTCACAGGAGGGTACAACAGTGTCACACGTGCTCACCTCATGGACAAGGTGATCGAGTCAGAAGCCAACAACCATCCTCAAATGGCAGGGGTAAAAGGGTCTTCTTGTGCGATACCGGGTTGTGACGGGAAGGTGATGCGTGACGAACGGGGTGACGACCTTCTTCCATGCGAGTGTGACTTCAAGATTTGTAGGGATTGCTACATAGACGCTGTGAAAACGGGTGGTGATGGGATTTGTCCTGGCTGTAAAGAGGCTTATAAGAACACTGATTTGGATAAGAACGCCGTCGATCCAATCAGGCAACAGCCTTTGTCTTTGCCGTCTAATGTTGGGATGTCTAAGATGGAGAGAAGGTTGTCGTTGATGAAATCCGGGAGTAAGTCTGCACTGGTAAGAAGTCAGTCTGGGTTGACTAGGAGTCAAACGGGGGATTTTGATCATAATAGATGGTTGTTTGAGACGAAAGGGACTTATGGTTATGGTAATGCTATATGGCCAAAGGGGGAAGAAGGTGGATCTGGAAATGAGAAAGGTGATGAGCCTTCTGAACTTCTTAACAAGCCATGGAGACCCCTCACTCGAAAACTGAAGATACCTGCTGCTGTTATCAGTCCGTATCGGTGAGCCTTTGTTCCCATGTATTTTTGGGCTTTGTAATCTCAATATAATTATTCTCTTTTCATGTTTGCAAAAATATCACTAGGTTTCTCTCTCCTCCCTATATATACAGTATTTCATTTTTAGACCCTTGTAAAGTTAATTTTTTTCATGATTCATCTTTGTAGTTTTTGTTACTTACTCCCTTTTCACTAAACTTTGCCAAATTTACTTAATTAGTCATCCCAAAAAACTTTACCATTTCCATTTAAAGTAATAAATATGTTATATGTGGTCAAAACTGTTCTCTCTCCTCTACTTAAATCTTAGTCACACTCTTTTTACTTTATTACTATGTGCATGTCAATTTTGGGAATGTTTTACGGGACGGAGTAATTTTTATGCTGCATTTTGCATTCTCTGTCAGTCTTACTTTAAAAAGCTTACATGGATCACATAACTTCAGTATGTTATATTTCCACATTTCATAACATGTTTATTTTAAAAAAAGAGAGTTCTGTTTCAATAAAAGCACCTTTTAAAACAATTTTTCTGTCCAAAAGGAATATGTTACATTTAGTTCCATTTAAACTAAAGGTATTATTATTTAAAATACATAAATGTAGGAACGATTATAATTTACAAGAGTTGTGCCTTGTGAAAACTTAAAAGTTATATCTTTAATTGGGAATGAGGGAGTACTATATTTTTTCTAGGCCAGTAGGCCCTTTGATTTCTTTCTTACTTTGAATTGGCTCACAGCTGAGGAAGGCTCACTATTAGTAGTCAATTACTACAGTAAATGAAAGAATGATTTCATCACAGCGGAGGAAGGCTCACTGAATAAGGTGACTGTCCACAACCTCCCTCCATAGAGAACTGAGAAAAACCATTCTCATTTTCAACCTCCCTAGAACTTTTTTGGATTGAGGGAGTATTATAAGTTATAACTTATATTTAGTGTTTATACCAAAAAGGAAAAAGAAATGGAGCTTTCACCAATAAATACTGGTCTTAAGGCACTTAACAGTGACCAGAGATCTGACTATCCAAGTGAACCCAACGCCTAAAAATGTCAATTTTTATGTTGACACTACAAATTTCATGCTACTGAACCCAACATAGTCACCGGGATCAAGGTGATAATGATGACGGTCAAAATTATTCTAATGTGCTGAAAAAGCATCTTTTATGTTGTTACTCCTTAAGTCCTTATATCGTTTTCTTGATTATGACAGGCTCTTGATTCTGATTCGGGTCATTGTGCTTGGATTGTTCCTTGCATGGAGAGTCAGCCATCCAAACAATGACGCAATATGGCTATGGTACATGTCAATCATATGTGAAATTTGGTTTGCCTTCTCCTGGCTGTTAGATCAACTTCCCAAGTTATGCCCAATCAACCGTGCAACTGACCTCAATGTCCTAAAAGAGAAATTTGAAACTCCTTCTCCCGCTAATCCTTCTGGAAAATCCGATCTCCCGGGTCTCGACATCTTTGTCTCAACTGCAGATCCAGAAAAGGAGCCACCCCTTGTCACTGCTAATACCATCCTCTCTATTCTTGCTGCGGACTATCCGGTTGAGAAGCTCTCTTGTTATGTCTCCGATGATGGTGGGGCCCTCCTCACTTTTGAAGCCATGGCTGAAGCTGCAAGTTTTGCAAACATATGGGTCCCGTTTTGCAGGAAACACAGCATTGAACCTAGGAATCCGGAGACCTACTTTAACATGAAAAGGGACCCGTACAAGAATAAGGTCCGTCCTGATTTTGTTAAGGACCGCAGACGGGCAAAACGGGAGTACGATGAGTTTAAGGTTAGGATTAATGGTCTGCCGGATTCTATACGTAGACGGTCTGATGCTTATAATGCCCGCGAAGAGATTAAGGCTATGAAACTTCAAAGAGAGGCGGCCGGTGATGAATTCTTGGAGCCTATTAAAATCACCAAGGCCACTTGGATGGCAGATGGGACTCACTGGCCTGGCACGTGGAATGCTTCCGCCCATGAGCATTCAAGAGGTGATCATGCTGGAATTATTCAGGTAATAATCTCATTTGCACAACAACACAAATTCTAAACTAATTCACTGGGAAAAATTCTAAAATACATCAAAGTACTGCTACTTTTTCTTTTGTTCTACTTGATTAATCTCCCCCTGCTTATGAACGGAGTAATATTTTGTTGGTTTTTGTTTGTGTGGTGTTGTAAGGCTGTGTTCGAAAAACAAGTTTGATAAGATTACTGATAAGTCACAACCTCTGCCCCCACTACCCTTTTTTAGTTTAGGCAATGTTCAATGTCATAAATCTCAATTATCATACGGAGTACTAATATTTATAAAACCTATTTGTTGGTTTAACTAAATTTAACATATACTATGTATTACTTCTCTATGACTTCACAAATTACATTTAAATATTTTTTAATGAGGTTAAAAAGATGGATCTGCAAACCAAAATCTCATGTTACTTATTTGAAACTCTAATCAAGAAAATCTTATTGAACAAGTTTTGAGTATGAAATAAGTTCCTCGTTCCAAACCCTACTTATTTGAAAGATTCTTTTGAAAAACCCATTCGACGATAGTTTGTGAAGGGCCTTATTGTCTAACTTCCTTATTGTTGTCGACCGCATTGTAGGTGATGTTGAAACCACCAAGTGATGAACCACTGCACGGGAACACTACTGGCGAAGGCAACACCGCCATCGATTTGACAGAAGTTGATATTCGGCTACCGTTACTGGTCTACGTTTCCCGCGAGAAACGGCCCGGCTATGATCACAACAAGAAGGCTGGGGCAATGAATGCCTTAGTCCGGGCTGCAGCAATCATGTCCAATGGCCCGTTTATCCTCAACCTCGACTGTGATCACTATGTTTACAACTCACAAGCAATAAGAGAAGGAATGTGCTTCATGATGGACCGCGGTGGTGACCGTTTATGCTACGTCCAGTTCCCTCAAAGGTTTGAGGGAATTGATCCGTCTGACCGTTACGCAAACCACAACACGGTTTTCTTTGACGTCAACATGCGTGCCTTGGACGGCTTGCAGGGTCCGGTTTATGTGGGTACGGGATGTCTCTTCCGCCGGACTGCTCTTTACGGGTTTGATCCGCCAAGAAACAAGGAATACCAACCCAGTTGCTGTACCCGTCGGAAGAAACGGTCATGTGCCAGTGTAGCCGCTGATCAGGAGGAGGAGGATAGGGGTCTTAAGATGAGTGATTTTGATGACGAGGAGATGAATTTTGATGCTTTCCCCAAAAGGTTCGGTAACTCGAGCCTTCTCATTGATTCGATCCCAGTTGCTGAGTTCCAAGGTAGACCGCTTGCTGATCACCCGGCAGTTAAAAATGGGCGCCCTCCCGGTGCCTTGACCATTCCCAGAGACCTTCTGGATGCGTCCACAGTTGCCGAAGCCATCAGTGTCATCTCGTGTTGGTACGAGGACAAGACAGAATGGGGTAACCGGGTTGGGTGGATATACGGATCTGTGACAGAAGATGTGGTGACAGGTTACCGGATGCACAACCGTGGGTGGAGATCTGTGTATTGCGTCACTAAGAGAGATGCATTCCGTGGGACGGCACCCATCAACCTGACAGACAGGCTCCATCAAGTTCTGCGGTGGGCTACCGGTTCCGTGGAGATCTTCTTTTCCCGGAACAACGCTCTGCTGGCCAGCCCCAAGATGAAAATACTGCAGAGAATCGCGTACCTCAACGTCGGCATCTACCCATTCACCTCCTTGTTCCTCATCGTCTATTGCTTCCTTCCGGCCCTCTCATTGTTCTCAGGTCAGTTTATAGTCCAAACCCTCAACGTTACGTTCCTCACGTACCTGCTAGTCATCACTCTGACACTGTGCATGCTTGCTGTTCTCGAGATCAAGTGGTCGGGAATCAACCTGGAGGAGTGGTGGCGGAACGAGCAGTTTTGGCTGATTGGGGGGACAAGCGCCCACCTGGCCGCTGTTCTACAGGGTCTGCTCAAAGTGGTGGCTGGGATAGAGATTTCCTTCACCCTCACTTCCAAGTCAGCCGGGGACGAGAATGACGATGAATTTGCTGATCTTTACATTATCAAATGGAGTTCACTTATGATCCCACCCATCACCATCATGATGACCAATTTGATTGCGATAGCTGTAGGGTTTAGTAGAACCATATACAGTACCATCCCACAATGGAGCCGTTTGATCGGGGGTGTGTTCTTTAGTTTCTGGGTTTTGGCTCACCTTTACCCCTTTGCTAAAGGGCTAATGGGAAGAAGAGGTAGGACACCCACTATTGTGTTTGTTTGGTCAGGCCTTATTGCTATTACCATATCACTCCTTTGGGTCGCCATCAATCCTCCATCTGGTACTTCTGAAATTGGTGGCTCATTCCAGTTCCCTTGATTTATTAGTATTCTTATTGTTATTATACGTAGTATTTATTATTTATTATTATTATTATTATTATTATTATTATGGGCTTTTGCCCTTGATATTACTAATTTCAGGACCAATTCTATAAAAGTGAGTACATTTATAAAAAGACAGAAAAGTGAGTAGCGGCTAACATTTTTGGGAAACTTCAAGTAATTTTTTTTGAGGGAAACGGTATTAATTATCATTGATAAAATCACTGTTCAATACATGTAAAATAAAATCAGGGGGAGAACCACTCCAAGAAATACAATCAGACATGGAACAAGCTGCTTGGGCCAACCTGTGAGCCGCTTTGTTCGTTGACCGTCGAACATAAGAGAAAAAGACATCTCCGTAAACCATGACCTCTGCTCTCTAATATCCTCAGCAATCACACCAGCCATTGAATCACTTTTGCCCTCAATTATTTCTGAAATCGCTCTGGAGGCGTCCGATTCTATGTCAATGAAATCCCAACCGTTGTCCTTTAACCCAACTGAGAGCTTCCCGAATTGCGACCAGCTCCGCCTCCCATGGTGTCAACTTACCACCCGTTACAAAGTCACCCCGATCATTGCGAATGAGCCATCCAAACCCGCTACCAAAATCCTTTACAGCAGCATCTACGTTAAGTTTCATTCTCCCTGGCGCTGGCCTCCTCCACACCGAAGAACCAACATCAACCTGGTCATCTTGCCTCCAACCAGCCCTCCACTAAAATTCGGGACTTAATTAGGATCGATTTTGCATCAGCTTCAAGTAATATTAATACGGAGTATAACGGAGTAACTTAAAAGTTAAACGGCTTCTTCCACAATTCGACGAATACATTAAAAACACAAATCATACTGCATACTTTGTATAAAGACATGTTATTTCGAATAAAAAATTATGATTCATTTCGGATAAAAACGAAAGATCCAGAGATCGTTTTCTTATATGACTAATCTAAAGTGACATTATCATAGTTACACATATTTCGATCATAGTGACATCGCCACAGTGACGCCGCCACAGTGATGCTGCTATAGTGACGCCGCCATAGTGATGCCGTCACAGTGACGCCGCCATAGTGACGCCGTCATAGTGACGCCACATCGTCACAATGATGTCTTTGCCACAGTGACACAATGGTTGCGGCCATGGTGACACAATGATTCCGGACATAGCAACAATGGTTCTGGCCACCGCCTATCAGCAACACCAACCACCATCCCTCACCTAGTCGCCGCCAAACAACAACGCCAGCCATGCATCATCCCCGCACCCAACCGCCGGTCCCGCAACTCTAATCCTTAGCCCTAACCTTTAGTCCCGACCAGTCACCGCCGCACCACCTTACCGCCGTCGACCACTGCCCTATCTCTAACTCGCCTCCCCAGCCCAACCACCTCCCCAGCCCCCTCCCATCCACCAGCCGCTTTCCCAGCCCCCTCCCCACCCACCTTACATGAGTCACATGACTCACATCCCCCAACCACCTCCCCAGCCCCCTCCCACCCCCAACCACCTCCCTAGCCCCCTCCCATCCCCAGCGACCTCCCCAGCCCCCAGCCACCCACAGAACAGTCTTGCTTCGTCTCGGACCCAGTCCAGCCCTCTCCAGGCGCCCCATAGCTGCCTTACGCCATCCCAATGGTTTTCAATCGCATCTAATCGCAGTGGAATCAATAGATCTTGCATCAAAATCCAATAGATCTTGCATCAAAATCCAATAGATCTCGTCACCCCTGCTCGATACATCGTTATCACCCCCGCCTGCGTTCGCCAATCACGGATCTGGAGGATTTCAATGGTTTGCTGCCATCCACAGAGTAACGAGAAGATAGGAAAGAGAGGAGAAGAATGGAGAATTTGTGCAGTCGGCGACGTCGTCGGACTGAGCGTTGGCGGTGTGGATGCGGCGGAGGCTGAGATGGAGGCTGTCGGTCGTCGGTCAGTCGTCGGTCGGTCGTCGGCCTGGAGAAAGGCGTAGTCACAGGAAGAGATGCAGAGAATGAAAGATGGGGGAGACGGAACAAAGACGGGAGAGAGCGAACAATTGAGTGCCGTTTATTCTTAATCACTTTTTTATCTAACTGAAAATAAGTTATATATTTGTTTATTAAAACTCTGGTAGTAATATCCTGGTCATCATCATCATCACCACCACCACCACCACTTATATATATCTATATAATTATATATATATATATATATATATATATATATATATATATATACAGAGAGAGAGGACAATATGATAGCACTTGTTTTTTTTTTTTTTATCTTGGCGGAACCTATAGTTCTTTTTGGCAAGTCCATTGGGCATTGGGGGCCTGCACATTAGGGGTGAGTTCGGTTTTGACCTAAAACCAAATATCGAATCAAAGTAAAAAGTTCGGTTCGGTTTCGGTTCGGTTCGGTTCCACTCCAAAACTTGGAACCACGGTTTGATTGGTTCGGGTTGTTTTGATTCGGTTTCGGTTTTTTTCAGGTTTTTACCAAAAAATTATCATTTGATTTAAAATTGATATAATATGTTGAGGGATTAAACATATTACATAAATAATGCAAGCACAATAAATAAAAATGAAAATAAATAAATAAATATGTCTTGAATTATATGAGTATGAGAGAGAAATAAAAGTATATATATTACGGAGTATTAATTTACATTATTTATGACTAGCTCAAAAAAAGTTCATGAATATATATGTTCTATGTGATACAGTTGAGATGAATATTTACGGAGTATCAATATGAATTCTTTAAGTTAAATAAAAATAAAAGTCAATTAATACTAATAACATATTATCATCATTGAGTATAACTACATTATTACAGACAATGAATGTGTAAATGAATTTCTAAACTAAACTAAACACAAACATTATTTCTCTAGCACAAGAAAACCAAAGACTATTAATGATATTAGGATTAGTTAGGATTAATGGTTAACAATTGAAAAATAAATTTTATATTTTAATTAGTTCGGTTTGTTCGGTTCGGTCGGTTTTGAAGGGTAAAAACCAAAACCGAACCAAACAACTACGGTTCGGTTCAGTTTTTTACATTCGATTTCGATTTGTTAGCGGTTCGGTTTTATTTGACCACGGTTCGGTATAATTTGATTCCGTTTTCGGTTTTTCGGACCCAGCCCTACTGCACATTGTGTAATAACGAATTCAACCTCAATAACATCCGAGCTTTATTCTCAAATAAAGAGAAGAAAAATAAGAAGAATAAAAAGATAAAGTAAGATAAAATAGATAAGCTAAAGATAAATATGAGATAAAAATAACATGGGAAAGATATAATATAAAAGAGCATAAGAAAGAGGAAATAATTTAAATACCCCAAACTTTGAAGGGGTATTTAAGCACCCTAAACTTGCACATGTAATATATAGAGAAAAATAATTAAAATACCTCGAACTTTGAAGGGGTGTGAGGTAAGCACCCCAAACTTGCATATGTAATTTAAATACCTTAAACTTTATATAAAAAGTCATTTTAACACAATGTATTAATTTTTTTTTAAAAAGTTAATAATTGGTGTCAATTTCATACTTCGTAATTTAAAACATTTTAGCATTCATGAAGATGCAATTAGCATTCTAAACTTTCATTGTAAAATAAATAGTATTACCCCACCCCCACCCCAAACTCTATAAAATTGCAATGTTTTCAATTTGCTAATTTAAATTATGAAATTAGCCGCATAAATTTTTGGAATGATACATGATGGAGTATATGGACTCCGACCCCCCGGTCTGCCGACTACTGGGCCTGGACAGCGGCCCACACACGCTTAGCGGATTCTTATTATTGTACATTATTATTATTCAGATGTTCTAGATTAGCTTTTTATACTATCAGTCCATTTATGTAACCGGGTCTGTCAGACCCATAATAGAGGCTCAGACCCGGATTTTCCCTATATATACTCATTATAGGAGGCTTGTAAACATAACTCACAATTCATTCAACATTATACACATTCTTCTTCTCCATTACTCTTCTTGATTATTGTTCAATCTCTCCTTAGTTGTAGGATATGGGTATCAATTATCCAGCAATGGTGCTCTTTGAAACCCTCCCAAATTACCCAAAAATCTTCTCAATCACAAAAATTCAACCAAGAAATGTTCTGGAAAAAATCAAAGATACAGCAAGAATAGATCGGGAATTTTAGATCTAGGGTTTTCAGATCCGTGCCAGATTGCCGGAGCCGTCTTTGTCGCCGTCTTTTGTCGCCGTTGTCCATGCTGCCGTACGCCATCTGCTAAGCTCGCTGCACCAGTTGGAGTTCGCTGGGCCGTTCCCAAGAAGTACCATCACCGCTCCAGACCTCACATGTCATCCGTTTGCTCAATCTGTTTGGAGGGTGACATTGAAAGGCAGCCGCTGTAATCTTCGCCAGTACAGGTGTCGTCACTATTTCCGCTCATAGCTCCTCCTTTCCAGTCACCGGTCGTTCCTCCACTTCACCGGCCGCCGCTCGCGAGTCCACCTTGCCATTGACGTGGTCTGAGATATCTGCCGATTAAAGATTCGCCATTAATGGTGGCTTGGAGTTCATGAGAAGCAGATTCGATCCAAAGCTAGCTGGGGCCACCCTTTTTGTCCCGTCGCTAGTTCACCCCTTCTCTTCATACCGAGCTATCCACAACCATCCTCAGTTGTTGTTCGATGTGGCAGACCGGAACTGCGCACTGTTTGTTCTCATTCACCAACTATGGTGGTCAGTGTTGTTGCCTCACCACTTGTGATTGCAAAGTGTGGCTTCTTCTGGTACTGGTGAGCTGCGCAGATGATGGGCGAGCCGGCGTGGACATGGTTTGATATGCCAAGAGGCATATAACCAGTTGACCTATTCAACCATTCAACTCCCAACTCTAGTGGATAAAAGAGAGCGTACGTGGATGCATTCCTGCCAAGCCTATAAAGATTTAAAAAGACAAGTACTCTGTATTCTTTAATTTTAATACGAGTATTATTTATATTTATTTAAGTCGTTTTTTTGTCGGGCGAATGTCACACTATCACGCACTTATGATCAAATGCCTAGTAAAGTGTGGCTTGAGACCCATCGCTAGGATTTAAAGCCCTGACTCTCAGGTACAAAGCCCTGACTCTCAGGCACGAAGACCGGTCTTAGTCATTCCTC